AAATCCAGATTTAGTTCTGATTGGTCAGTTTCTATGCCAGTCAGTGTCTCTGGACCTATCTCTGGGCCTGATCAGAGAGGCAGGGCTGATCAGCAGGCCCGGAAGAGGCCCAGAGTAAGAGAAAGAGAGGTGTGGCTGCTGGCAAAGCCCAGAGAGAAAGAGAGAGGCAACAGCTGATCAACAGCTGCCATGGAGGCTGCGGATGAGACCCTGCCTCTCTCTCCCAGCCTCTCTCCAGGCCTGATCCACAGCTCCCTTGGAAGTCAGTGCTGGGTCGCTGTGCCTGCACCAGCAGCAGTCAGTGCTGGGTCACCAAGGAAACCCAGCACTGACTGCATGGCTGACTTCCAGTGTTCGGTGGAGCCTTAGGTCGGTCGTTATGGACCCTGGGTTTTTATATATTAGGATTACTATGTTTCATGTTGACGTACAGCTCTCTTAAGCTGTCCTATTTTTAAATTGTTGTTGTTTTGTTTTTTGATCTCTGATTGAGTTATCTTTTTATATCCGTCTTCTAATTGGCTTTCCCTAATCTGCTGGATATTCCTTCCACTGTGCTCTTTATTAGTGCTATGTAATTCTTCATTATTTCAATGTCTTTTCTCATGTTGTTGAGCATGCTTGCCATCATTATTGCGAACTCTATGTCTGATAAATTTCTTATCTCCATTTCATTTAGCTCTTATTCTGGAGAATTCTCTTGTTCTTTCATTTGGGGCTTATTTTTTTGTTTTCCAATGTTGGCTACCTGTTTGGGTTTGTGTCTATATATTAGGTATAGCAGCTACGACTCCCAATCTCTAGTACTGGGCAGTATCAGACTCTGCTTGTGGCCCTGAGTATCCTGTTTGTAGCTATTAGCAAGCCACAGCTTGTGGCACCCTCTGCTTGGGCTGGGTGCCTTTGGAAAGGACCAAGATGTGCACCAGGGTCTGCTTTTCCTAGCCCCAAGCCCCAAATTTGATCAAACAAAGACTCAAAGCCTCCAGAGACCCACCTCTGCCTGTAGTCTGATATTATTGGATTGATTAGCCTCAGGCTATGGGTCACAGGGTGGAGCAAGAGGTTTTCTAACAGGGTGGGGAAATTGCTCCCCCCAACCCTGAATGGTAAAGGTCTGCAGAGAACGATGTCTTCTGCTGTATGAGGGAATGACTCAGCATGGGAAATTGAGGTGTCTGCCTTCTGTGCTCTCATCCAAGATCCCCCAACCCTGGATTCTCCTCACACAGCTCCAGTCCACTCTGTCCTCCCTCTGCTGGAGCCCAAGGTGAGTGGCTGCACATGAAATTTTGTGATTTGGCCCTTTAAGAAGGTGTTTGCATTTCCAGCCATCTCTCCTTGGAAGACTGCAACCTTGCTGCTTTCACAGCCAGATGTTCTATGAGCACCTTTCTTAGTTCAAGTGCTGTTGGCTGGGAGTCCATCTTGGTGTTTAGGCTCCAGAGTTCTCAGTGTAAATCTCCCCCTGCCCCTCCCCACCCGCCACCCCATAGCTGAGATATCCCTCCAGAACTTCAGCTGCTGCCTGGGGAAGCCTGGACAGCCTTTTCATGCCTCCACACAACTAGCCTCTATGCAGGCTTCACATTTCATCCTTGGTTATCAGGTTTTTCTCCAGCTAGTCTTCACTTGGTTATTCAGGATGTTTTTCTGTATTTTACTTATAATTGCCATTTGGTCCTGGGAGAGTGTCAGTGTAGTTTCCACTGACTCTGCTGCCATTTTGAAATCTTCCAACAATTCCTTTATGGCTAGCAAATGCAGCTCAGCATCACTTGTTGCATGTAGCAGTCACATCTCTTTAGTCTCGGTCAGTCTGGAATATCTAATTAAAATATTTTATTGATTAAAAATCCTATCTACCATCTGACCCTTCAGCAATTCATACTCTTTTTGTGGTGGAGGTTTTTTCTTGATGTTGATGAGTACTCACTAGTCAGGTGGTGACTGCTGAAGGATGGGGTAGGTGTGCCAATAACTTAAAATAAGACTATGAAACTTGATTTATCAACTACATTTATGTATTATTTTAAAATATTTTTGTCATATCAACAATCTTCACCGTATTTTCACGAAGATTGTATTCCATCTCAAGAAACCTCTTTTGTTATTCATCTATCAGAAGCAACTCCTTATCCATTAAAGGTTTATTATGAAATGGAACCAATTCAGTCACATCTTTAGGCTCCACATCTAAAAATTTTAGTTCTCTTGCTCTTTCTACCACATCTGAAATTACTTCCTCCACTGAAATCTTGAATTCTCAAATTCATCCATGAGAGTTAGAATCAACCTCTTTTAAACTTCATTGAATATTAACATTTTTACTCTTCCCATGAATCACAAACATTCTTGATGGTATTTAGATGGTGAATCATTTCCAGAAATTTTTTTTTAAAAAAATATATATATATGTATTATTGATATTTTACAGAGAATAAGGGAGAGGGATAGAGAGTTAGAAACATCAACGAAAGAGAAACATCAGCCGCCTCTTGCACACCCCCCACAGGGGATATGCCTGAAACCAAGGCACATGCCCTTGACCGGAATCGAACCTGGGACCCTTCAGTCCGCAGGCCAAGGATCTATCCACTGAGAAAAACTGGCTAGGACTCTGGAAGGTTTTAAATATACTTTGCCCAGATGCATCAGGGGACTCAATATCTGTGGCAGCCATAGCCTTACAAAATGTATTTCTTAAATAATAAGAATTGAAAGTCAAAATTACTCCTAGACTATGGGCTGCAGAATTGATGATGTGTTAGTAGGCATAAAAACAACATTAATTTTGTTGTACATATCCAGAAAATCTCTTGGGTTTTCAGGTGCATTTTCAATGAACAGTAGTATTTTGAAAGAAATCTTTTATTCTGAGCGAAAGGTCTCACCAGTGGGCTTACATTATTTAGAAAACTATGTTGTAAATAGATGTGCTGTCATTCAGGTTGTGTTGTTCCATTTATAGAGCACAAATCAGAGCAGATTTAATATAATTCTTAAAGGTCCTAAGATTTTCAGAATTATAAATGAGTATGGGCTTCAACTTAAAGTCACCAGCTACATCAACCCCTACCACAGATTCAGCCTGTCCTTTGAAACTTTGAAGCCAGATGTACTCCTTTCTAGCTATGAAAGTCTTAAATGGTATCTCCAGTATAATGGTGTTTCATCTACACTGACAATTTGTTGTTTAGTGTAGCCACTTTCAATAAGTATCTTAACTAGCTCTTCTGGATAACTTGCTGCAGCTTCTTCCTCGGTACTTGTATACCTTGTACTTTTATGTTATAGGCATGGCTTTTTTCCTTAAACCTCATGAACCAACTTCTGCTAGCTTCAAACCTCTCTCTTTCTTTTGCAGCTTCCTCACCTCTCTCAGCCTCCAAAGAATTGAAGAGACTTAGGACCTTTCTCTGGATTATCCTTTGGCATAAGAAAATGTTACGGTGGGCTTGACCTCTCTAGAACACTAGAACTTTCTCCATATAAACAATAAGGTTGTTTTGCTTTCTTATCATTTCTGTGTTCACTGGAGTAGCACTTTTCCTTTTCCTAAGGAGTGTTTCTTTGCTTTCAGAACTTGGATAACTGTTTGGCATAAGAGATCCAACTTTCAGTCTATCTCAGCTTTCAACATTCC